TATGCAGCCACTTTAATTAAAATAATTACACACACGCTTGTGTTTTTTCTTTGCCGAGACTGCGTTACTTTATGTGGAAAACGTTATCATTATTATTTTCACGCGCGTCAAGTATTATATAATGTACAATCAAACGTACGCTGTAGTATATATTATATCGGCGACGCGCTAATTAATATTCCTTGATCCTGTGAAGACTAGTTTGTACGGCGAGAAGCGAGTGAGATCAGAGGGGGAGGGGGAGGAGATGGTGGGAGAGAGAAAGAGAGAGGGAGGCAGAGGAACTTTTTAGCCGAGGGTTTATTTGCACTTTATCCGGGATTTAATTTACCGAGCGACGGCTCGCTGATGGGATTAAAAGATATAAAAGAAGAGACCCCGAGGCTTGCAGAGGGGCTGACGCGGGGGAGGAGGAGGAAAGCTTGGAAAAGGGTGTGAGAGAAATGGCTGCTGGTTGGAATAAAGAAGCCGTGTGCTCTGTAGCTGCTGCAGCTTTAAACAGAGAAAGAAAAGCGAGGGGTGAGCTCACCGAGCTTTTTTGCTTGTTCAGAGGTTTTAATAAATGTGTTTCTTTCTGACGGCGAGAGGATGAGAGCCTCTTTGCCTCTATATATACATGCACACAATATATATGCGACAGAAAAGTTTCCACCGTCTCTTTTAATTAGAGAGTAATTAGAGAGTGAGAGAAAGGTGATGCGATATATATTATATCATTTGGCCTTTTTGTCGAACGAAAAAAATTAAAATAAAAAATATATATACGTAGATGCAAACACTTCGTACTTTGTTTTCGGTTAAATTTTTTTCTCTTCTACGAATCATTGCTACAAGTAAGTGCGACACGAGTTTATTGAAAAATCCAACCCATTTACAGAAAATTGCAGTTCGCCCATGCATAGTACACGAATATACAATTCAAAGCTACCTACGAATGTAACAAAAAAAAAACATAAAAACAGAAACAGTGATCGGAACAGAGCAAGTCAAGCGAAAAAAGGCGTAAATGTATATAGCAGTAGGTAGGTACAGTGAAAAAAAGGGGAGAACGACTCAACCGCTGCAGTGCAAATGGACCGTATAGTAGAGGAAAATGGTCCAGGCTACATTGCGGTGGTTTCAATCGATAATTCAGTCACACAGGACAAGACGAGGCGAGAGGTACCGGGAGGGCTGGAGGATGGAGATCGATCGTTTTTTTCTTTTTTTTTTTATCTCTTTTACGTTCAAAGCTCACTGATTGACGACGTCGACAAAAGTGTACGCAGCTCGTGCGAGCAATTTTTTCTCTCTTCTCGCTACTGTTCAGTAAGCATCAACGGTTAAAAGCACAAGCTCGGCGCGGCCGATACTTACCTTTGTTCGTTCGCATGTGCTCTTTCACCACTCTCCTACTCGGTCTCATTCAAGTTCGATAAATATTTTTTTTCGTCGTCATCCGTACGTGTCGCGGTATATTGGCTCTATACATTGCATTTCCATTTACGCTGATGGCTCGCGAAAAAGAGGCTCTCATAGATTTTTCCTTTGTCTAAGCAAATAAAATTACCGAGTTTCTAAAAGTGAGCAGTCCTTAATGGCAATAACAATTGCGAAAAAAGAAGGAAAGCGAAAGCGGAATTCACGTCAGTAGCAAAGAACACAAAGTGGAATCACATCGTTTTTCTTCGACGCTCTAAGCCATACAGCTTGCCTATAAGAATCTATGTCGAAGTATAAAACTGAAGCTATATTTTCACACCTCCTCCTGTTTGAACTGTCTGACAAAAGTAAATCGATACATCTTTCTTTTCTCTAGCTCGTTGCGTTACTATTCAGCAAATACATATATACGGAGAGCGAGAGAGAAAAAGAGGAAATAGGGATGAAAGCTCGATATAGTGCGCTCGGTAAAGTGGGCGCGCAACCTGAAGAGAAGAGTATCTCTCCCTCTACCGCTATGTGCGGCTATAGCACGGGAGGGTGAGTGTACTCGTCGTCGTCGCGCGAATAACGATCATACTCGACCTCATCGCGACGATCCCCTCTTCTTATTTATGTCTGTGTGTGTGTGTGTGAGTATACTTTCAACTCGACCTCTTTTGTCTGCGTTTATATCTATATTTTATATGTATAATAGTAGTAGTAGTAGAAGAAGAAGAAGAAGAAGAAGAAGAAGGAGAAGAAGAAGGAGGAGAAGAAGAAGAGCAAGCGAAAGGGAATGAGAAAAAAGAGAGAAATTGTTTTTCAAAGCTGATGCGCATCCGAAATATAAACACACACATTCGCACATTGACTATTTGAAATGTAAGATGTGATTGTGATAAGAAATTATCTTTGCGAATTCTGAATTCAATTTTAATGAATACATACATGAGAATTGTTATTAAAGAAAAAAAATGATAGGCCTTAACGCGATAACGATTATAGTACATAGGAAAAAGCGACATGAATAATAACAAGAAAAAAGTTTTCAATTGAAAAATTCAAAATTTCGATGTAAATGCAAAGAATGAAAGAAAAGAAGAACATTTTCACGCTGCAGTTTTGCTCTGAATTTTCCGCACGCCAACCCTCACAACTGATGAGTGAGAAGAAGAATAGTATATGTGTGAATATACATGCGCGATACACAATAGTAAGCTAGGCTTCGATCGAGATTCCAATGGAACGAAATCGGATTCTCCGGGCACGTCGTCGTCGTCGCCGTCGTCGTTGCCTCTGTAGCTCGGAAATGCCGAGACAAAATGAAATCGAAGCGTACAACTACTGCTAGCTCGAAGCCGCAATTGCGAACGTGCGCGGAAATAACGTTCTCTAACTCTTTCTCTCTCTTTCTTTCTTTCTCTCTTTATGTGCGAGCAAGGAGAGAGAGAGAGAGAGAGAGAGAGAGAGAGACCGAAAATGCATCAGTTATCCGTTTTTTAACCGTCTCCTTTACTTTTTTCGTGTTTACTCGTTGACTATAACGGAAAAGTACAAAAGTTTTCTGAAGCACACACAGTGTTCCTTTGTCAGTGGGTGTACGTGTATGTATTCGTTTTAGTCGAAAGAAGTTATTTCTTGGGGCTTTTGCGGCTTGATACATAACACACTCGCGCACGCCTGGAAGTGTATCGATTGCAGCACGTATATAGGCAAGCTTTATCAGCTTTTTTATTCAGCTCGAACAGTTCGAGTCGAACGCGCCGTACTACCACGACTTTATACGAAACAATTTTTCTTCACAAATCCAAAACTTTTTTACTCATCCGCGATTCGCCGCATTAGGTGATTCATTTGTTACGTTATTTATGTAGGAAGAGAAAAATCAATCGTTTCCCTCTTCATCTTTTTTATCGCCATTAATTTTAGCTCCCTTTCTGGGGAGGCTCGAGAGATCTCTGCACTGCATTATTTATCGACTTTTCCATCGTCGTCGATCGTGAGCCGCAAGCATTAGTTCGTCGCTCGCTGTATACATAAACTCGTTTACTCTGCTAATACTATTTGCTGGGATTGCACTCGCTGAATGAAACTCGTTTGTAAGTGATACACGTTCGTCTCTCGACGGAGAGGTAAAAATTGTTACAATTCATCGTATATAGTGATTATTTCCGAACTACATTATCGCGAGTTGAATTTCGGTTGAGCCGAGCGCTAACGTACACGATGCCGTTACACCGGGCTACTTTTATATTAAACGTGTCGCATTATGGTATTTCATATAGCTGGGACAAGTTTCGCGTGCAATGTAATAGAAAGAAAAACGAGTATCGAGTCTTTTACGGCTTGTTGCTGCGTGTGCGCGCGCGCGGAGCTTTCATGTCCCACCGTTGATCCGGTTAGGCACTACAAGGCGCTTACGTAGGCCAGTCTGCTGCTACTAGCTCTTCGTCGTTTAATCTACTTTACGAGCTAAAATCGCATTCAACGCCCAGCACCCGTACTTATTTCATTTTTTTCACTCCTTTTACCCTCTTTCTCTCTCAGCCATATGAGAGATCATGGCTTAAGGTCTTCATGTATATAGATAAACGTACCGCCGAGGATTTTATGAGGACTTCTTTATTTTGTACTTTAAAACTACTGTGATTTGCTTCGGTTGTAATGAACTTTTGTTGCAAGGATATTTTTTTCCCTCCTACTCGGTTGGATGAATGCATTTTTTTTATATTACATCGAGGAAAAATATTTTGAGTATATTTTGTGATATGGTGGGGCGTGGAAGGGTATGAAATAAAACATTTTTCACTTTGTGTGGGTAACCATCTCTCGATATTACGATTACACGAGCGAGAGCAAAATTATAGAAAGTCATCTCTCCCTTTATAATAATTTATGCTCAATAAAGTCGGCTTTAATGTTGCAGAAAAGCTCGTCGCAATGTTGGTGCTTTGCAGCTAGAAAAAATATCTTATTTAGTTATCCAATAACTGGGAGAATTCTTTTTATCCTCTTTATTCTCCTTCTTTTTGCCCCTAAAGCACAATAGAGTCAGGAACACGTATAAAAGTTGTGTTGCGTATTATTCCAAGTTCAAGCAATATGAGAGAGCTTTGTGCTATGCTGGTTGCTTTTATTGCACAAGAATTATCGCTTGCGCCTCATTGATGTTACATAATAGCATCGAATTTTCCTCGGCTGTTTTTGCACGACACTCGTAGACACTCCACCTTCGCTTGTGGTATACTATTCGGTGTGTATAAAGATATACATACATAAGCACGGCACGATCTGGTACTTATTATTATTGTCCCAGGCGATTTTTTGTTTTCTGCCTTTTCGCTCTATAGCATTTGTCTTATAAGATACAAAGAAAAGCAGTCTCTCGGTATGCTAGTCACGCTGCAGCAATATTACAACGGACGTACTTTTTGCATGCTGATTGAAAAATTTAATGCTCGGAAAAGTCAAGTTTATATTTTCTTGTTAAAGTTTAATGGGAATACACTAATTAAGCTTAATAGTAAAATAAAATAGTGATCCGTGGAAACTAAAAAAAAATATCAACAGAGATGATGCATGTATGATATACTTACATGTCTCTCTTCCGATGGATTCAAACCTGTAACACACAAGCATGACAAATTATTAAATGTTTAATTGAAATGTATTTGTTAAAATAAAGTATCGTTTTTCCTATTTCGATGTAATGCATTAACAAGGAAGATGCACAAGAGGGGTGAGCACCTGGTTTTATATACATACACAGAAGCTGCGGCTTTTCTTTTTCTTCTCTTATGGGTGCAAGAGAGTGAAAAATAAGAGCGAAAAATATAGGGAAAAGAAACGTGTACGTATACATAAGAAACGTTGAATTTTATATAACAGAACGTAGCGACGGCAGCAGCAGCAGTTGTAGTGGAATTATTGCGCTGCAGGTTTTGATTTATAAAGAAAGGCCCCCGAAGTACTTTGCTCTGGCAAAATATACCCGCTACTCGCGAATACATAATGCTTCTCGCCAACTTTTTCTTTGTTCGAAAAAGAGAGCGAAGGCCTTGTGTAAGCACAGACTTCCACCTTTCTTTTTTTATGTTTTCTTATTTGCGAGCTTGTATTATTAATAATGACGTCGAGCTACTGTTACCTTATGCCCGCTTGCCAAGTTGCTTGTGTATTACAAAACTTTCATTATTTATACCCGCGCAAAGACGTTTATGCATTTTTATTATTTGCCTAACCTTTCCAATTATTATAATTCGATTAAGTTTAGTTTTTTTCCTAAACGAGACATGAATTTTCGAGAATGAAAATGCACTATTACGCTCTTTTTACGCATTAGAAGTACCGACGAGTTGCTTTCGTACTTCATTCTCTGACTAACCACGGAAAAACCTCGGACTTTAGCACCTTCGCATGCTCAAGGCAAATCCTTTTTTGTGTACACAAACACGCAAGCTGCTGTTACTAGAAAAAAGAGGACATAAAAAAATCAACTTCCTCGCTTACGTACAAACTTTGCGAGCGCGCATGTATGCGTGTACATGGATGTGTTAGTAGGTTCGTGTGTATTTGTGTGTGTGTGAGAAATAAAAAAACAAGCAAGCAAGGAACTCGCTTGTGAAAAGAAGCGATCTAAGCCCGCAATATGTACACATAGAAAGTGCAAGAGTGGGAGGCGGTTTTTTACCCTCGGGCGAGTTTTTCACCCTTGTATAGCGCCGTAATAATCGGAAAATATGAGAAAATTCTTTCGTTGCAAGATATATACGACTATGACAACGATTACAAGCTTTCAAGAGCTACTGTGTTGTGCGTGTATACATTGTGAGTATATACGTATTTACTCGTACATTGAAGATCACTTACTGACAAAAATATATTTTATATGAAACTATCGAGTGCATTTACGAAGAAAGATAATCTTTTTAATCGAGACCGATACATTATTTATGAAGCGAAATTTTTATTCTACTTCCAGTCAAATTTTGATACGAGTTTAATGTTGAGCATTTCTACCAGGTCAGATGCATCCACCTTTGAAGTGCTTGAGTTTGTACAGCTCTACGTATAAACACTTGAATAAAATTAAATAATAATTTTTTTCAAGAATGTTGGCGTTTAGTTACGTGTTATAAACGATTCAAGTTTGATCAACTGCGTCTAGGCCTATTGATTTTTTTCAAAAAGTTTTCAGTGTGTATTTTTTTAGTTTGTTCATGTGGTGCGAGTTTTATACGTTTATAAGGGCATTATAAAAAAAATGCGCGAGCTAAAATACTTTTGTCAGCTGCCACAAAGGAGCTTGCACGTGCAAAACTTACAAAGGGGTGAGGTTTATTTCATAGTTGCAAGGTGAAATTTTACTTTCTTTCTAAAATGTTATTACACCAAGTTCATGTACGTTGATTCAAATACATTTTTCTTTTTGTCATGACAATTTTTGATAGAAGCAAGCGCAAAAAAGTGTACCGAATTTATACACAATGTATTTCCATAGCCTTGTTAAATCATCCTATTTTCTTCTTCTTTAAAGACAATCGATTCCGATATTTAATGGCAAAAATCAGCATCTTATTGATATTCAGTCAAAATAGTAAGCACACTTACAGAGAAATTTACTCGTTAGATTGGAGAAAAAGAATTCGAAAGGTCACACAGGTAAATCGAACAGTTTTTACAAGCATACAGTAAAAAAGGTCCGATTACTCATAGCACTATAACTTTAAACGGTTAGATTTAGAGCTTATGTACACTTATCACGTGCAATGGAAATTTATTTCGCTCGAGTCCATGTGACGCATCGGTGAGCTTTTTTACTTGCACCCACCATTATGCGTGGCCAGTTGTAAGCAATCAGAAATGAGTAAACTTTTTTTGAAAATCAGAAATGTGTGCATAAATTACGCAAAAGAAAATCGTTCGATTCGTGCTTTATTGGAAATTTTTCAAGTTCAGATTATAAGATTCGGAAGAATAACAACGTGGCGACTCTTTTGAATTCACTATATCTATTGCTCTAAATCGTCATGAGTCATTTTAATAAGGCAAGACGGCGCTTCAAGCTGGTATAGTCACTTATAACATTCCTCTACATAGCCATAGGGAGTTAATGAATCTCGGCGAGAGAAACTCGATAATCGTGCAAAAGTACCGGCAATCACGACGGGCTCCATTCATACAAGCAGTTTAAACGAGCCACCGACGCCTCCCATCCTCCCTTCCTATATACGATGCCAGGAGCTTAATGACTCGACAACGTTGCGTGGCTACGGCAATGGCGAGCCGAGTTAGCGAGGGTTCCGTATCGAATGACTGGCTTGTGTGCTTCATTACTGTGCGAACGCGCTGCACTGGTGTTAAAAGCTGTGAGCCGCTTTTCCGTGTATAATTGGAATAAGACATTAGAACAACGAGCGGAGATTTGGAAGCTACAACTGTTGCTGGCTTAAAGCTCACGAGTTACGCAGCTAAATTAAAGTCACCGATTGTATATGAGTGAAAAATATAATTTTTTTCAACGATTGATTGAAGAAAATATTAGGTCTTGTAAAGTAAACTGGCTAAAGTAACACATAAGCGCGCGGAGGCGAGCGAGCTTACAGGCAGGTATATATCCAAGAAGCTTGAAACTCGACCTCTGCAAAAAAAGCTGCTCTCGAGTATAGTGGAGCAAGTGCAGCAGCGAAATCTCTCTCTCACTACAGAGATAGTCGTTGCAGTAGTGGTAAGTGGTAAGAGGCAAAGATGAAAGAGGAGGTACAGGGAGTTCTCGTGAGAGATGACTACGACGACGACGACTATGACGACGACGTAGAGGACAGTCGGAAGCGCTCTTGAGTGGAGAGATTCTAAGAGTTCTCTCCCGCTCACTCTCTAGCTCTGTATATGCGCCTCAGCTGTACTACTCGTGACTTTGTCAGCGTTCCTATACTGCTACTACTTATATTTGCCGTCGCACCGGACAAGTGGAACGTCATGTGTGCCTGCTACTGCTGCTGCTCTCGTCTTTATTCACGAGGAAAAAAGCGTCTGCAAACTTATTGATAGCAGAAAAAAACATGAAATCGTACACGATTTTACTGGATCACAACATTGAGGCCACACTTTAATCAATTCTTAAGTTATCATTTGCGAAAAATTAGATGTGTATCAACGGCGTGAAAATCGATGCAAGCTCGACATCAATGTTCTAGACAATCTTGAATAGATGGCGCCAGCAGAGTTAAAAGTAAATACGGCTCTGGAATGGGAAAAATAATTAAAACTCCGCAGCAGTATATGGAAAAATGTGGTTTTTCGACCGGGAAAAAAGTGGCCGTACGGTATTGAAAACAGGAATTTAAGCAACATCGATAAGGCAAATCGAAGTAATCAAAAGCAAAATTCAGCTCCATCCCCCAATGCAAAAAGATAAATAACCGAAGCCCATTTAAAACGAAAACAATTGCAGAGCTATTGCGAATAGTTGCTGTAGTTTTATCCTCCTTTTTTCTCTATTTCCAAACACAATTTTGATTTTCACAGCGCGTACACGTACATTCGCATATATAAAAGATAGCAGGAGAGTAAAAAAAAAAAGAAAAAATAAACAACACGAGAGGCCAGCATATAAACCAAGCAAAAAAGGAAACGGTAAATATTTTTTCATTTCTTTCTCTGCCTCGACCCGTGTATAAATGCGCGTTACTGCACTGCGCGCACGCGTATATTCACGTTCGTGAATCATTCATCTAGCCGTCGTAGTTGCATCGTTTTCTGACGCGGGCGCGCGCACAAGCGTATAATGCTAAATCGAAAAAATCACTGCAAAAATTCAATCGCTTCATAGAAGCTGTGCGTTTGTTTACGAATTGATATTTTTCTAAAAGGTATTTCATTTACTTTGTCGAAGAGGAGAAAAAAAAACAAGATTCACCATTCTTTAAACAACTCTGCGAATGATTAAACAATGCGAAATTACTGAGGGGAAGGCGATTTTTATAATCAAATAAAGCGATCATTCCGCGTAATTCGCGGCAAATCCATTAAATCTGCAAACTGGGAGCCGAGCCAAAACGAGAAATTTTTGAATTAACCTAAATCTCGAGAGCATCGTCAAAGTTGGCGCGAGCGCATAGCGTTGAAAATCATCCTAATAACCGTGCCGCGGTTCGCTTTATCAAGCGAAATCGTATACACTACATTTTCGCGGCTGAAAATACGATAAATCAAAACGACGGTTGATGCAAGCGAGAGAGTGAGATATGATGTGTATACGCGAAGCCAGACGTACGACTAAAACAAACGTAAGACTAGACAATCGCTCTCTGCGCAGGCAGCTATTATATATACGTATGAGATTGGCTATTCGCCGAAACATGTCACGGACTTCCCCGTACAATGTCACATGGCATACAAGAGCATATAATACAGAGGAAGCGAGAGAGAAAGAGAGAGAGAGACAAGAACACTATTAGAGATGGCTTTGCTGGCACGGTAATTCGCCACTATACACTTCTACAACTGCGACTTTAATTACGAACGTGCGAAAATCACAACGCAGCCCTACAACAAAATATATAATGACGTTATTAATGCCTTCGCTATTCCGTGTTTACAAGCGAACGTCGGAATGAATCTATTATTCAAAGCACGGCTTTTAATTAAGACACTGACTGCGTGCATATTTAACGAACAAATTACGCAATAGTATCACTGCGCGTCGCGTACTATTCGCAAAAAGAGAAAAAAAAGTATCATATCGCCCAAGGATTTATTTGCCGTCTGCTTTGAGCTTATTGCAGTGGGCACTTTTTAATGGCCAGCATCTTGCTTCAACTACACAAACGAGGTCAAGTAGAAAACATTCTTTTACGAATAAAAGCTTTTTCGCGCTCTTAAATACTGCATTACTCTCTTACTGCCGCTGCTGCGCTTTGTCGAGGGATGCTTTTTATACTTTTCAACGGAAGCAGGCGATCCATTTAGCACTGGACGCAAAGCGTTTGCAGTTTGCTTCAGAAAAAAACTCTTTTGACCACTTTTAACTAACTTTCCAGATGTATTTTTCATCTGTCGTTCCTCATATTACTAGTCTTGAAACGACGCCCCTTCTATGTCTCTAGCGCGCAGCTTAATTGGCTCACTTTTTTAATAAAAGTAATAATAATAATGATGATAAAAACGAACTTACCACCATTAGTTTTAAGATCGTCGGGCGCGCCTCTGTGTAATTCTGGTTTGGCAAGCATACCGAGTGGGTGAGCCGAGCTACCCGGAGCTGCTGCGGCTCCTGGTGGCAGACCGAGGCCCAAGAGTGCCGCTGAAGCCGATGTTGGCACTGGCAGACCAGCACCCGGTCCCAAACCTGGCAAGCCTGGCAGTCCTGGGTGTGGGCCCATTGCTGCACCTGGTGGCAGTTGTTGCGCGTGCATTTGTTGCAGTAACCTTGGCAGATCAGGCCTCTGTTGCTGTGGATAACGCATCGAAATAATAAGAAAATGTCACATTATATTTTAAGAATTTATTTTAATATATAATTTACAACAATTTTTAGTAAAAAAAATCGCCTCGATGTTAATAAAAAAAAAATTACTAGCGGTTATCGATGCCAAAGCTTTATCATTCACGTGCATTTCAGCAGCAAAGCTAATTCTAATTCCACGCAACTCTTATTTTTATTTTGTAATCTTTGCCTAACAAATTTAATTCTCTCCCTTTTACCTCTCTGTCTCTCTCTCTCTCTCTCTCTCTCTCTCTCTCTCTCTCTCTCTCTCTTTTCAATTTTAAAGAATTAACTCTGTCGGACACAAATAAAATTATTTATTCGCCGGGTTGCGTTTGCACACACATAGACATATGCACATTCGGTTTTGCCGCAGACACGTGTGAGCTTACTCGTGATTCCGCGCGTTTATTTGCTCGGTCGTAAGAGCACGTTCGCTAAACACACTAACTAACGAATCTTTTTTCACCTCCCTTGGCTTACTAGATTTGTGTGGCTATGTGCTGTGCGAGTGTACGCGACGTTGAAAAATCGAATTTCAGCGCCGAGCTTCCGCTTGCTATCTGGAGTGAAGGAAATACGTCTATTTTTTCGCTCTCTCCGCTTCGCGAAATAATCGCTTCGCATTGAGTGTCAGGCAATTTTCTCTTTGAGCTTTCTGTAACGAATTTCGATACGAAATCTGATTGTTTTGTAAAATCCGAGTCATTTTCCATTATAATTCGAATACGAGAGATTTACCAAGTTATAACAGCAATGAAAACTGAGGCGCTTGCGCGCACGTGCAAGGTCAAGAAGTTCATGGTTGATATATATCTATAAGGCAGCAGTAGCAGCAGCTGAATTAGTTGGTCGAAGGCAAAAAAGCAAAGTCGGGGGATGAGTGTCTCAGCTCAAGGAAGCTGCGGGCTCGGCAGCAAGCGAGCCGATACCGCACGCGGCGGAGAAAGCTCGACGAGCAAGTAAGAGGGTACAGGCGGCGAACACACCGAGAGGAGCAGTTTGCCGAGATAATTAAATGGCTTAACGATATAATAAGCCCAGCAGCGGCGGCGGCGGCGGCGGCGGCAGCAGCTAGGCAACACTACAGAGCACTGATTTTCGTGTTCAGCTGCTGTATACATATACTCAGGCAGGTTAATTTATACTTGCGCGAGCTTGCGCCAACCGACGACGATGTGATTTTCAATGAATCGCGCCGAGCTTGTGTACACAAAAGGCTTAAGCTCGCACAATGTTTGCATGCTCTGAAATTGTTTCTCCCTTAAATCAAGATTCCACGGATTGCTGCAAGTTTGTTGATACTCTTAAGATTGAAAATATAAGCGTGAAAAATGTCACGATTGAAATGAAAGAATAAGAAAGAAAGCCGATAAATTGATTGGAGCAAAGTCGGCAAGATCGACCGAGACCGCAAAACACTAAAATCAAGCTATAGCCTTCGTTTCCAAGAAAGTTCGCTTGTATGTACTTGGATATATAGGTAGAGAGTAGGTCTCGAGGTAACATCTGCAAACTGGCGAGACACGACGAAACCGGGGACGCGATGGGAGTTTCAGTGGACAATTCTCCCTCTCAGGCTCGGTTAACCGCTCTATCGCTCAACATCTGTTATGGTTATCGAGGATTTTCGTCGCTCGACCGACGCTCGAAATGTATGACGCGCTCACGTACAGCTCTTGCGGAAATCAAGTGTGTACATACGGTAGGTACGTAGTAGTACGACTCACTGGCGTGGGCTGTACGCGATTGCCCTTTTCGTATTGATATGCTCCGCGGAATTTTCGAATAAAATCCCGAACGATAATCACGCGCGCGCTCGCGCACACGAGCGGGAATTAATCGATACATACGCGGCGAATGCCTCGCGCGTTTTTCGGATTTTCGATGAACATTTTTTTTCTGCCACCGTTGCTATACACAGATACGCTACTGGAATTCTCAACATTTTCTCTGTCTGTCTTTCTCGCTCTCTCTCTCTGTCTCTCTCTCGACCTTCTCGTGCGCGCGTGCACGGCTGCACGTTCGTGAATGCAAATAGCATCGGTGCAAAAACTCGTATACAGCTTATACGTAAGCAGATGTATGAGAATGGTAAATAAGAAACGAAAATACACTTTATCTGAATTATTACGAGGCGTAATTCTGCGACATGCCGTGTTGATAAAAAAAATCCTGGCATTTTTTCTTGTTGTCACGCAAAAACCAAATACGCTTTTCATTTTTTTTTCATTTCTCACAGACAGCACGAAGGCAGAAAGAAAAGAAAGAAAGCGAAAACCAGTAATACATAATGCAAGTTCCGAATGCACGCATCGTAGTTCAGTACGGGCTTGTACACGTATAACAACGACACATATCCTTATATTCGCATAGCAGCTGTAGCAGCAGCAGTATGAGGGAAAATATAAGAATGTCACGTAGAGCCTGAGATAAACCGAAAAACTAGAATACATACGTATATATTCATACACGCGCGCACATAGATATAGACGATTGAGCTGTTTCCGCGACATTACCCTGTCTCCGCATCAAGGTTCTCAGCTTCTCCTTAGTCTCGGAAGCAATTCCGAGTTGCTTCGCTCGCCAAATAAGTTCCACTTATTCGCTGAATGCGAACAAGGCCAGGACGCGAGGATATCTGTATAGAATACAGGCTCCAACCTCGCACCTTCCCTCCCGAGCGATACTTCTTGCCATCGGCAAAATGGAAGAACTGAGCTCGCTAAAGAATGCACCCGTGAGCGAGTAAGTTTGGTATTCTTTTCCACTTGCCTCGCTATGAGATGAAAAAAGAGATGCGTATAAAACAGCATCTAGCGAGCTTGAACAATTGTAGAATTCAGATGCGCGCGCGGGTGTAAGTGGTTGCGTCTATTAAGGCGGAAAGAAGAATGAGTAGCTGCTGCGTTTGGAATTTATATATGAACGCAGTTTACTACAGTAAATTCTTTTTTACTTTTAGCTTAATATAGCTAATACAATTCGTTGGTACATGTTTCGTACGAATTTGAGAGCGAACGAAATGTTTTAAACAAGATACTATAGCTGAAAACATATTGTATAAAAGCTCTCATCGTAAGCTCTAGCCTAAAATAAACCAGTAACAAGGAAGAGGTACTGTACTCCTTATGTAATACAAGCGAGCAGAGAATGGAGTAATGAAAACAAGAAGGTAAAAAGTGTAAAATGAGAGAGTGCAGGCGCGCTTACATGAATACGGCAAATTTTCGGTAAAATTGAATAACCAAACAACTATTATTTTTCTGACAAGGAAAACAAGTTTTTATAAAAAATGGGAGGTATTCAAATATAATTTATATTTATACTCGCAGCAATGGGAAGAGATCCAATTGGTATAAAGTAGGGTGTATTTAGGAAAAAAGTCAGCAAGAACAGGAAAACGAGAAAAAATAGTATATACGATCGGTTTCACGCAGCAAGCAAGCTTGAGGGAAGACGACTTCTTTTAGAATTTCTCTTTTCTTTTCTTTTGTCGAGACGATAACCGTATACTTGGTTCTATATTATTATGTCTCATGCGCGTAGCACGCTAAAAGTAAGGAGTGTATGTTCTATTTTATTCTGCGTCGATGGGGTGAGAAAAACTCTTTCCAGACATGTGAATTTTCACTTCTCCATTTTTTTTCAATAGCTGTGTAATTTTTATTGCGGCAACATAAATTGAAAAAAAATTAATAGAGCTTCGAATCAATTTCCAAAAGAGAAGTGAGAAAAGTAACAACCAGATATCATTTCATACATATGAACCAAATTAGGTACGTGAATATAATGCGATCTTAGTTTACGCAAAGGAAACGCAACGAGAAGCAGAGATAGAATTAGTCTTTGAGCTCATAGGAAAAGAAGAGAATCTAAGACGAGCTGTTCTGCTAAGGACTTGATGCACGTAGGCAACATTTGCGTCGTCGTTTGTGTGGATTCCGAATCAAAGTTCTGCTACTTGCGTACGTACACACAAACCCACTACTCCTTCACTCACACACACAAACTGTGTACAAGTTATACGTATTTGAAGAGGATAGAAATGCTGATTAGTCGGTGGCTCTGTACCATAACACATATAACTTATCCAGACAGAGCGAAGTATACGGGTGGTTCTGTACCAAATTGAAAAGCCCAGAAAAGTTTGTTTCAGCTAATATGCATCGTTATGAAAGGAACTTTTTTGAACAATGAGCACATGGTAAATCCTAACCTTAATATTTTTCAAGAATTGTCGATCAGTGAGATCACAAACGGCTATTTTTGTATGAAAAAGTAAAAATATTTTGTGGATGTGGAAAAGTATTTTTAATTTTACTTCATCGTGGATAAGCTTCTAAAATGCATACTGTTTTTGAATCCCTCTTTGAATTCGGGCAATTTTTTGGAATAATTAAGAAACCAATATTTTGTAGGTACTATAACACGAGCACAATCGCAAGAACCACTCTAATGCATTTAACGCGATCTACCAACCAATTTCTCAACATTTTAAATTTTCTGAGATTTTCTCATATATATGGATCCAGAGAATGGGAAAATTGCACAGCGGATCGTGCTTGTAAGGATTTCATATACGTACATATATACAGAAATGAAGAGAGAGTGCGAGCGAAGTAGAAGGTAGGATATATATTCACTATCTGTCCTTATCAAGTCCGCTTCATGCTCTTTCTCTCTCTCACTTCTCGGAGTCTGCTGCGTCTCTCTTCTGGCAAGGATAAGACGCTGCTTCTGCTGTGGGCACAGAAGGCTGAGGAAAGCCGGTGGCTTAATAGGGAGGAAATTGAGTGCTCGAGAGCAATATTGAAGGAGAGTTTCTCTCTCTCTGCCCTCCTTTAAACTATATCCATCTTGCACGCTTTCGAATTCCTCAAGCGTGCACACATCGACTAGGTGCTTAGTTCTCTCAGTGGTTCTCAATTCCCTCCCCTTCAGCCATATAAATACAAGTAGCCTAACTCTACGTATGAGCTTACCTATACGTGTGGCAGTGCCTATGTGTATGCGTTTAGAGGCAAAACAGCCAGATGGGAATTATTGACTTCACCCACCTGCCTGAGAGAACGAGAGAGAGAGAGAGAGAGACGTGATTCGCCAACTGGTTGTGCAGTGCCAACACCGTATACGGATTGAGGTGTCGAGGAGACTAATTTAATGGGACTTGTGTGAGATGCTTATAAACTCGATCAATGTGTATACGTACGTATTCGCGCGCATCTCTGTGTGTTTGCGTGTCCGTTAATGCATATATCATGTATGTTTATCAATTTACAAAACTTTACTTGAAAAAAAAAGAAAATAATAATATCCTTAGCGTGAATCTTTTTAAAATTGCTTGTAATTTGTTAATAGATTTTTGACTCCAAATGATTAAGGCGAGACAGGACGTTTACTACAATTCACGATCGTCATTCATGGACGAAACCCTACACGAGGAAACAAATGCAAGCCCACAGCCAAAATGGAAAACAAAACAAAAAAGAAAAAGAAAAATGCAATATTGCAACATATACTCACTCCAATGATTGCGTTGAGCTCGGTCATGGTGACTTGCTTTGCACGGTCGACCGCCGTGGCCACTTGCTGCTGGTGTTCCTGTGATAGGAACGGTAGAATTTGCGCAATTATCGCATTCAACCGCTTTGCTATTTCCGTCTGCAATCACAAGAGAAGAGAAAGAAAGTTAAAACATGTATTTTTTGTCACAGATGCTAAAATTCCTGATGTTTTTCAACTTGAAACAAATCGACCAACAAATCGCTTTTTTGCATGTACATTACAGATTCACTGACAATTTTGGTAAAAAGTCTATTGGGCAATTACTGATATTAAGCATTTCTATCAGGTTTGAGCTTTTAATTTACACATTCGTTTGATATCGAGTTCTAGTTTCGTTGAAGTAACCGCAACTCTATACGCGTTTGCTCAAAATTCAACCGTTTTTTTATCAGCGTTAGTGAGCAGGTGCACAGGATTGTGTTATGTTGCTACTCGTTGACAGAAACACAAATATTTTGCCAGTCGTTTCCAATCAGCCTCGCACTGAACATTGAGAGGAGTTTGCTGCTGCAGAAAAAAACTTGGGCAAATTCACGACGCGCGAGGTCAACGCCCTCCGTGCGAGGCCAAATAACTAAATGTACAGAGACGATGGAATGGCGATGAGAGACTAACTCTCTATAAAAAAAGGAAAGAGAAGAGCAAGGTAATGAATGTTTGCGCGCAGTGAAAACTGAGCGAGAAAATAAGCTTCGTGGATATCGATGAAAATGCGTTCGATTTACGTATTAAATCGCGATTGCGAAAAGATCTGGGGGCTTGATGAATATGTAAAGTTCGTTGAACCACTGTAGCTCTTGATAGAGAATTAATATTGATTTTTTTCTGTTCCATTAAGAGTTGAGTTGGTAAAATTTCATTATTTAAAGACTTATACTTTGCCCGAATTAAATATAACGGATAATTTTGGTATATCCGGCCAATAAGCTTTTCCAACTCTCCATTGCTCATCATTTTTCCAGTTAATGCAATTACGATCCGTACAATGGCGCATGAATTTACATTTGATTCGAAGGCGAGTAATAAATTTTTAAATCGAGTTACATGAGTATGCGCGAACTCCAAATGCTTAATACATGTGAGCGCAGTATTTAAAACGTAATCAACAAATTGATACCAGCTAGGAGTGCCAGTTATACGAGACAGTTATGACGGTTTTCTAGTTTATCGCTCGCGTTAAAGATCAATAAAAAGAGATATCGGCCGAGTGTTTAAAAATAGCCGCGCTTCACTCGATCGAATGCGGCGGGTACACATTGCAAAATTAAGCGTCGCTCAAGTAATAGCATTTGTATGTGTGTGTGTGTGTGTGTGTGTGTGTTTTCGCACTCTATTAAATACACGCTCAACGCGACGTCACATCGCGAAATTGATAAATGTATAAATATGTACGCGGCCGGTTTTCGCTTTAATATCCGTCGAATTCAGTCGAGCTACTATATCATTCGATACGCAAGTTTTCTATATACATTGGCTTGAAGTTTGAAAGATCAATGCTTGGAGCGCGCGTACAGTGTATATGTGCTTCGCGAAACGTGTATCTTTGATCAGTAATTGAAATAACTCGTCTACTAGCGCGACTTCTTGGCAACTTTCCCGATTCTGGCGCGCTACAAGACCAAGACTTGTCCGTATGACTGCGGACAAGTTAGAGCTGCCGAGAGACGGGAAAAAGTCACGATGTATGAGAAAGAGAAACAAGTTTATTTACCAAATGATTAAAACTTGACAAAACAATTACACATATTAAATGTATAAAATTATTAATGTTACTTTTTTCCCAGTAAATGAATCATGGAAAATGTGAAATATTTGAGAAAAGATTTTCTCTCGCTCGAAGCTGCGGTAGATGTGGCTTGAGACATTCTTCGCGGGGTTCGCAATCGATAAGTCATATCTAGAAGTATAAATATACCGAATATGAACGCACGAAAATTCAATGGTTTTGAAAGTATAAGCGAACAAGAACGAGAAAGAAAGAGAGAGAACAAAGAGCCAGAGCGAGACATCTTGGCACATAAATTCCCCCGGGCAAAATAGCTCGGGGTTTCATTTCTATTTGTTTTTTTTTTCATTCGATTTTTCTGCTCTCGACTAGAGTCGTTACAGAGTATAGAATCCGTGTGCACGTGAGCGAGAGAGAAAGAAAATCGAAGTGGAAGAACATAAACAGCGAATGTCTGGCGTCATCGTCGTCGCACTTGTCGACGTATCTATATACCAAGAGGAGAGAGAGAGAAAAGTTGGGCCGTTTCGTTTAGTTGGCAAGCAAGCCCTCTTCCATACCGAGTAGTAGCACTCTATAGTGAGTTAAAGGGTCTCTCTCTTTCTCGTTCTCCCTCAACCCCATTCGTTATTTTCTTGGTTACCTCTTGCTGTCACCCGGTTGCCCTGCTCTAAAACTTTGTAACGCAATTACGCAACCCTTTTACTCTGTATATACGTATATATATCTCAACAGCAGCAGCAGTGGCAGCAGCAGCAACGGTGGTATACTCTTTTCTCTTCCATTTCTCATTCCGCGGGTGAGTGAGACTACTGCTTTCTTGCTTGTCTCTCTCTCTCTCTCTCGTCGCTCGTTCTCTCTCTCACTCTCTTTCTCTTCTTCGACCTTTAATCACCCATTCTGCTCTGCTACTCGCTCACGCGCTATCTGTCGTGGCAATTTCAGCCTGTCGCTCTTTCCCTTTCGTTCTATTCCAACTGCCACATAGCATCCACTGTATTGCTACTGAATACTTTGTGAAGCTCTTCCTCTCACTCGCTCTTTAGTCTTCTTCTACTTTCCTTTTTGGCCGGATGGCTCGACTCATTTTCGCGTACGTTATAATTAGTGGCTTAATGACTACCACTCGCTTCTCTCCTGCTCAGAGCTAGGCCTCGTCGTAGTCGTCGTAGTCGTCGTCGTACCAGCGCAAACGGGGTAATTAAAACAACAACTCTCTCGCCGCTTTATCTTGCCCCTTTTTCTTCCTTCCGCTTTTGCTCGCGCTGCCATGCACACACACACACACACACACACACATACACTCACACACACCCTTTGGCCTGTTATATACTAGCCTGCACCGAGAGAACGGCTTTTTAAATACGACCATGTCCGGGATTTGCTACCTCTCTTCTTTCCCTCTCGCTTCGCTCTCGCTACTCGACAATCTTTTTTTGATTCTTTTGCTATTATTCCATTGGACTGAACAATGGGATTTCTCTCTGTCATTTCGTTTATCTGAGCGTGCCCCTCAGCCAGCAGCGTATATATACGTTCGGAGCTTTCTTTTTAATATGCCTTATCGTTTGGTCATTCGTGATCGAGTCTCCCAGCGTGTACACAGAGCTTTTTCGCTTTAACCTTTTTCTCCAATTCCTTTGCGCATTTTTCATTTGAATAATGAAAATATATACTTTCAATAAATTTCACTTGCAAATAACTCATACTATATAACCAGAAAAAAAAACAATAAATAAATCACTTGCTCAACTTTTCACTCGTAATACTTCTATATAAGAATAAGAAAAAAAAAAGGAGAAGAAGGGGGAGGAACCCAGCTGCGATCGCGATTTTGGCACACAACTGCACTGAAGGAGGCGGCGGCATCGCTTCTGCGACAATTTAGCAAATGGAAGAGAAAAGTCGCGGACAACGACGCTAAGTAAGTATATAGGAAACGAGAGAGAGAGAGACGGAGAGCAAGAAAAAACGGCAAAAAGGAGAAATCGACTGTGCGCCTGAGAATAAACGAGGGTAGCACGAGATACGTTGAGCGCATAAATATTTTATAGTACAAGTCGTCTGCGCGCGTGCGTGAGCATATTGTACTCAACTACATAATTCTCCATCGCTACCGAAAGGAAATTAATCTCCTGGAGATTCTTCCCGTCGCATTATAAGGGAGTAGACGGCGACGACGAAGACGATAAAAAAAGAATAAGAAAAAAAGAAGTAGAAAAAGAAGAAGCGAAGGCAGAAAAAAGTAAAGAAGTTATGCGACTGCTGGATACGCGAGGTGTGAATAACTGCCAGTTGCGAAGAATTCCTCTGTATGTAAATCTTGAATGCGTGGAATTCGATTGAATTCAAATTGCTAACACGACGAAGGAGTAAACGTTATTTTGGGTCTCCACACGCGTAGTGCGTCTGCGCGCTTACGTATATATATGAATTTAATTCGAGCTGCAACTCTCTATTACAGAAATATACATGCGAAAAAACGTATTAGCGATAAAGGCGCCATTCGAAAAAACGTTCATAGATCCGAAAGCGAGTGCATTATAAAATATATACGTATAGGAGGATTTTTAACACTTCAGATACGTCGAATTTACATTTACATTTGCCCAGGTAATACCCTTTTTTTGCTATACAACTGCTATATACGTCTACGACTGAGCTGCTACCGCTGCTACTCTATATAAGATACATCCAGGCGCGCGCTGATGTTTGCCATTTTACCCGCGCATACACATGCCGTAGTGCACACCTCGACGATCAATATACATGTGCGGGTATACGTATCTGTGCATACGTATATATGTGAGCGTGCATGTATCGAGTGTGTATAGAGAAGCGCAAGGCATCCTCTTCCACTTCAGTCACCCGGAAAGTGCCTTCTCGCGTGCTCAAGCGCGTAAAGCTCATGCTAGTGATAGCGCGTTATGTATACACGCGCGTCTCTATATACTCTATGTTACTCTCTACTACACGTGTTACCCCCCGCACACACTCACACGCACACACATATGTGCATACTCATATACGAAGTTACATATACATACGTATGTATATTTCGACGTTCTATTCGAGCCCATTCACTGCGCAAAGCAGCAGCTTGAGTAAAGCCAACGACGTACTAACTGCAGCTATCGCGACGAGCCCTCTGTCTTGTATATGGATTACATTTTTGAATCTAAATTTTTCTTCGCAACGAAAAATGTCGAAAAAAGAGGAAAAAAAAATTACGACGTACCCGAGGCAACGAGAACACGCAATTAAATTGAAATAGTAAGTTTGCGCTTGAAGCATCCTATATTGGACGCAATAAAAGGAGTGCAGCGCATCGCGTAATGTACAACGCGCGCGAGTCTAGATATTTCATAGT